TTTTCTTACAGTTCTGGATGTCAGAAATCCAAAATCAGTTTCACTGGGCTGAAATCAAGGTGTCGACAGGGACTCACTCCCTGTGGAGGCTTCAGGAGAGGATCTGTTTTCTTTTAAATTGTGGTAAAATATATATAACATATAATTTACCATCCTAGCCGTTTTAAGTGTACAGTTCAGTGACATTAAGTATATTCACATTGTTGTCCAAACATCACCACCATCCATTTCAAGAACTGTTTTCATCTTCCCAAACTGACACTCTGCATTGCTTAAACAATAATGACTGCCCAGTTCCTCCCCCTTCCCCCATCATTGGCAACCACCATTCTGCTTTCTGTCTCTACCAACTTGACCGCTCTAAGTAACTCGTTTATGAGGAATCATACAATAATTGTCCTTTGGTGATGGACTTATTTCATTTAGCAGTAGATTCATCCATGGTTTAGCATGTGTCAAAATTTCCTCCCTTTTTAAGGTTGAATAATACTCCATTGTATGTATATATACCATTTTGTTTATCCATTCATCTGTTGATGGACACTTGGGTTGCTAGCACTATTGTTTTGGCTATTGTGAATAATGCTGCTATGTAAATGGGTATGCAAATAACTTTTCAAGACCCTGCTTTCAATTCTTCTGGGTCTCTAACCAGAAGCGGAGTTGCTGGATCATATGAGAGAATCTGTATTTTTGCCTTTTTCATCTTCTAAAGCTACACTCCTTGCATTCAGTGGCTCGTGGTCCCTTCCTTCATGTTCTAAGTTAGCACCTTTTCATCTTGTTTCAGTGGTCACATTGCCTCTTTTTCTATCTCAAATTTCCCTCCGGTTCCTTCCTATAATGACGCTTGTGATTGCATTTAGGGCCATCTGGATAATCCAGGATAATCTCCCCACCACAAGATCCTTAATTTAATCACATGCACAAAGTCTCTTTTGCCATATAAAGTGACATTCACAGGTTCCAAGGACTAGGACCTAGATATCTTTGGGGGCCATTATTCAGTCCCACACAGCAAATAGAAAAAGTAAAAGAAATACAGAAACATCATATAGAGAAAAGACCATACAATTTCACTGTCCCTAGCAATCACAATAAGAAATAGCTTGGGACATTTTTTTCTAGATTTATTTCTATGCATATACTAAGAAATGTATTTCTTTTGTTTCCCTTGCTTTTTAAAAAAATCAAAAGTGGGATAACATTCTACATAGCCCAGTGACTTGTCTTTTTTATTTAATAACATGTCTCTGCAGCAAGCTCTTTAAAAGTGGAAGGGATTTACTTTCATGCTACTGTTGTGTAGTCTTTGATGTAATAATAGCAACTTGCCAGTAAAGCAAGTGACTTTTAGAAAAATTCTATTTGAAATAATCTTCTAGAAATGTCA